GTCGGTCGAAAGTACAACTCTATGCGGTGGATCACTCGGCTCGTGTGTCGATAAAGAGCGCAGCCAACTGTGTGAATTAATGTAAATCGCAGATTGCTTTGAACATCGACCTCTTGAAGGCAGTACGCTGACTGCCTGGCAGTATTCTCTAAGTATCCATCTACGATCTACTGGAGGACTACAACGCCAGGCCGTGAAAATATGAACAATCGAGTCAATCCAATTACTTGAATCTGCGAAACCCCTAGCAGTAAAATAAATGCTTAAATGCCTGTACACCTTAAAATGGGAATATTTTTTTCCTTCACCAGTTTTCACATGGTCGCGTAATGAATCTATCACGAACAATCGTTTGCCTGGGAAACAGAATTATACAGTGACTGACTTCTAAGACTATTGCTGACTTGCTTTTTATTTCAGATATATTTTACAATGAAGACGCACATGGGCAAAAAACTGCACTCCGCTGTAAATAAATGCTTTTAAGCTTGAATTTCATGATGTCTGGATCTGTAACTTAAGTGTCAGTTCTTTGCGTCAAACAGACTGGACGTTGTGATCATACAGAGGCGCTGTGTGGGTGTCTCCGCCAGTTTGAGTTTGAGAGGACGTCTTCCATTTGGGGAAATGTGTTCTCAAACCTGTCAATCTTGCCCTTTTACGATCTTAAAGCTAAAGTAGAAAAAAACTACATCCAGGTTATGTCTCATGGTGATTCCGACTATCACGGTTGCCTCTACATTTTCACAAATACGCTATGACGACGTTTTTAACCTATTGCGTCTTGTATGCCAATCTACGCCTCCACAGGGGGCTACCAAATCGACCAATATTAGAGGCAAATAGAGGCTCCGTTGCAATCCACTATTCACATTCTTGTCGTATGAAAGCGCCTGATTGTGTGACGCTGCCAATATACTTCTCGCCCACAGAGCATGCACTTGACAGGGACCTGTTTCTTTATACTTTGCAACTGTGCACTCGGTAAGTAAACCGTCTCTTATTTCAGGCTTACAGCCTACAACATGTTGCATTTACCCTTCTAATGCGTGGCTATTTTTTCTTTATGTGCTAGTGTTCAGTCAACTCAACGAGGAGGACATTACAGGGGCTCTTGGTGGAAAGCTCGACAGAGATCTGTACTTAGAAACCGTCTTAGCGGTAAGACTAGAAGCCAACAATTCACTTGAATTAAAGCCCTAATTTGATCCCTTGCATTTAACCTTGAATTGGTATGGCTTTTGTAGTCGATTGTGTCGGCACGCATGCCACGCTTTATACTACACATTCTATTTATATCATGCTTAGATCCAGCAACTCGAAAGGTGCGCTAGCACTGTGTGTGTCCGGCTCAGGGGTAACGTGAAATAAAAATGTAAAAACGTTTGCGAAACCTTCATTTAGGGCACATTACGTACTGGACTATTCACAAGGACACAATCATCCCTGTTGGTACAAAAAACATTCGTGTCGACGATGGCAGACAATTTGATGGTTATATTTCAATAAATGGTCAGTGCCTTTTTAAAATCTCCCAATCCTGATTAATGTTAATTCATATCTAATTTTGTTATTACTCTAAAGATGAGCCTTTGGGACCTGGCGAGTACCCAGTCGGTGACGTGCCCGTTACGGACGGCAAGGTTACAAAAGATAGAAAATTTGTGACACCATTCCTCATCAGTGTGAGTAAATTTCCCCCTTCAGACGTTTACATATGCCAACTTTTCTAGTAACACATACATTTGCGTCCATTTTATCCTAAGACTCTTAACCCGAACGTGAAATTCACTAGACAAAGACGTAACCAAAATAAAATTATATTAATTTTTGATATTTAGTGTAAAAGTATATGTAAATAATAAAATTTAATTCATCATTTCCTGCCTTTTAGACCAAACATATGTTACTGTAAAGGGAGCAGTGCCGGATCAAAAAGTAAGCATCCAATTCCCAATAAAAGATGGAGGAAGTTTCACCTTTAACATATCTGCCCGAACAACAACGACCACAAAAACGACAACGACATCACCAGCAACAGCAACGGGAAGTGAAACAACAGCAGCAAATGCAACAGCGAGAGGATCAACTAGTGGGGCATCCTCTACGGTCAATAGACAGTTTTACTTTGCTCCCGTTTTCTTAATGTCCGCAATGCTTTTGCTGAATTAGGAAAACTAACGAGTCTTCGTTCTTTACAGATTTACCTGTAAAAACTGGGGAACCAGATTCACAATTTTGTACAATAAACGTTATTCGTTTCTGGATAAAAGTTCTTGTTATTGATTATATATCTTAGGATGCCGGTATTTCGATACGTATATATGCATTTGTTTATAGGGTATGATAGACTGCTCGCTTTCATAACTAATTACTTACCATACTAACAAACTAGTTAATTGTTGCCACTACGTTAAAAATTACATAGTATATAGAAAAGACTGCCTGTTGGAATTGCGGGTTTACACAAAAGTAGCTGATGAATTTCAAATGGGTTTAGACCGAGCATATCAATGTTTGTTCGGAAGGATTTACTCCTAATTCGCGCAGTACTGCCGCCGGAAATTTAAGGGCTATCGTTTCCGTCTATTTTATTTTTAGGAGAATTCAGTTCGATCGACATCAATAAAATTTTCCCCATATTCCTTTCGCTAATTAAAACTCATCATAACACGCCACAATAAATTGACTGGGCACATTAGCAGCCTATCGTCTACATGCATATCTGACTACTAAAAAGGAGCTAGACTTATTTGTCAACTAGCAAAATGCAGCGAGTAACTCAAATTCAAAGTGTACCATTTCATACCAAGGCATTAGAACACCTATCTACGATAGAGATAATTCTACAGGTTAAATGAACTTCCTTAATTATGTTTTGAGTATTTTTAAACGCTATCTGATGCGTTTGGTGCCGTATCCTGCATGGTTGTGTCGATAACTATGTCTTTAGAAATATGAGGACTTTAACCTCATCCACAGGTGAACTGTGCATCAAAATGTGCTCAGGGCATTTTTAATAAAAATGTTTTTGTGCCAGAAAAACGAGAATTTTTTGTAAGTACCTGTTGAAGATGGGTTGGCCGTAAACACGACGGCAAGTATTGATGTGCTCAGAGCCTCAAACATCTGATTTACTCGGAACAGCACAAATTCCGGCCCCAGTTCATATTTGAGGTCGAGAGAGCATTAGCGCAACGCTGACGCTAATCAGCGTCATTTCTGACCAATTATTTGCGTTAATAACGGTCCCAGCGCTACTATCACTCGGCTGTACTGCACTGTATTGTCATACTGTTGGCCTTTAGTACAGTACTTGTACTGTACTTATTTAGACGTTCCCTTAATCCTAAACTAGGGCTAGGTACTGTAGACTGTCAAAGATAAACTGGAAAATCGGCTAATGCCTTTCTTTTATGACGTTAATGCGTGACAGATCTTCAGCTACTATTGAGTACAGGTTTTTTAAGCCTTCAATTTACGATAATCCCGATATTAGTTAAGACTGCATACTAGGTTCATATTTCCTAGGTGCACTTTCAAGCCGTACTGTCGCATACTAAATACTAGCCTTGGCAATTATACATACCAGACTTAGCAGGCTTGATATTGATATCTTACTTCTAGCAGCAGTATCATCGACCTCGTAGTCTACACTTCAAGAAAAACTTATACCGTTTTAATGAATAAATGTAGAGAATAAAAACCACGGCAAGTATTGAGGTGCTCCAAGCCACCGACATCTGCCTTACTCAAAATAGCATAAATCCATGTCTGGACTCCCAGCTGTGGTCGAGGGAACACGAACAACACAGCTGTACTGCTAGTAAGCAGCAGTATAAAAAGTAGTATCAGTAGTAGCAACATCAGAATCGATCTCTTTGAGTCTTTCAGGACATCAACTAAAGGTCAGTGATGGCAGATAGTGCAGTAGCACCAGCGCAGAAGGCTACTGTCACTTACGACTAAGTAAAGCGGTGTCTTCGGCCTGCATTGGAGAAAACGGCCTACGCCTTATTCCTGCTCGGTCATGTCGACTCTGTATTGTCACCGGCTCAAGCGGGAAGAGGGTCTAGAATGGGATAGATGTTCTTTCGTCTACTTTCTCTGTACCTGACTGCACTCTCCATCACTGCCAGTGAGCATTTGGTGGATTTCACCGAAATCGACGGCCGAAGCTTCATCATCATCATCATTATCATCACCAGATAGCTTATTAGGCATTTAGTGCCTTACCATTTAATAAACCTAAAACATTTTTTAGTAATGGCAGGTTTCTCATGTCGCGGAATTCGAAAGCAAAACAAGCATATCTTCTTTGAAAAGTGTCCTCGGTTCATGCTATGGCAATACAGTTGGGTTTACTTTTCGCAAAGTGCATCGGTGAAGAACATGTTCGTTGTTTGTGACTAACGAATTTGTTGCCAGGATTAGTTTATTATAACTTGCGCGACATATTACTGGTGAGGTTTATGCCCCATAAATGAACTACTACAGAAGACAAAACGCAGACCCCGAGGCTGTAGTATTAATAGCAAGATTTAATACTATGGCGGGCCATTACATGAAAGGATAAAGTATGTATAACCTTGCGTTTGTGTATTGAATTTTCCCCAGCAGAAGGCACCGTAAGCTGACCTTGCCAATTCACTGATTACTCAGTGGTATTAAGGGGAAATGTTTGCAAAAGAAATAGAAGAGCATAAAAAGATTCCGTTAAAATACGTTCACTTGA